AGGATGATGATAGACACCCTACGCAACCCTACACGCCTTACACGCAACCGTAGGATGATGATAGACGCCCTACGCAGCCCTACACGCAACCTATGATGATAGGTTACCCTAGAAGCAACCGTACACAACCCTACATGCACCCGAATGATGATAGGTAAGTATGTCATTTGATTCGTGACTTTTTCCACTACTTGTTTTGAGTGCGGCCAAGGGAGAGAACTCCCACTAAGCCGACCGACGCCGTCCCGCTTGCGTCCAAATCTGCTAGGAGAGCCTACTTTTTTTTTCACTCAGACAGTCCTTTTTTTGTGTGTGTGTTCCCGGCCGTCCCCTGAGTACTAGCTCACAAAACTTATAGCAGTAAGCTCATGGCTATTTAACAGTCAGCCCGCGGACCAAATTTGGCCCGCTGAGGCCCAGCGAGTAGCCCGCGGATCACTTCTGGTTGCAATGAAATAATGGTTTTTCTAAGCTGGGACTCGGACTGATGGCCCATAACGATCCCTAATTTCATAATGTTGGCATCTGAGTAAACTTAAATTGACTTAGTTGAACAGCCCTGGATATAGATATTGACAATAAGACATAGAAACAGAAAGCACAACAGAAACTAATCACATATTCACAATATGACATAGAAACAGAAAGCACAACAGAAACTACTGACATATTCACAATATGACATAGAAACAGAAAGCACAACAGAAACTACTGACATATTCACAATATGACATAGAAACAGAAAGCACAACAGAAACTACTTACATATTCACAATATGTCATAGAAACAGAAAGCACAACAGAAACTACTTACCATGCAGCTGTCCAAATTGTAGTCACATAATCCATGTAAATCCATTACTGGATGAATTTAGCCAGTTTTCTTTTTTTAGATGATTTATCCAGCAAGGATGCATCGGTTTTCATTTTTCTGTAGTAGTTCATAAAAACATTTGCCAGAGTTGGCAGCGCTTTGTAAGCAATGTTTATTTTAGAACAACTGTCAGCACAGACACCGCCTATTTCATCCTTGAAATATGTGTGTAAACTGCATGAAACAATATGCATAAGCAATTTTTTGTGATGTTTGCAGGCTAGAAATTGTGTTTCCAACTCAGCTGATATAAGCTTCTGCATAGCTGCATATGTTACAAAGGTAAATAATATTATAAACTTTGAAGGGTATTTCAAACCTCCATGGTCAAGCAGCTGTATGTAGTCTGTGGACACTGCACACGAGTCAACATCATATGATAATGGCCTGTCCATCTGCAGTAAAGTCCTGCAGGCAGCACACCTAATTTTTTTTGTTCAGCTTACTTGAGACAAATCCAGCAATGTACACCAGTGACTCCTCTGAACCTTCCGAAACCAATAATTCACAGTCGTTTGAGTTTATGTGAACAAAAAAAACAACCTTGTTCACGTCCAGCTGAACAGCATCAGTAATTATGTCATCCCCATTTTCCTCTTCATTGCTGCTAAGAAACTCTGAGAGGTCACAGATATGAAAATCTCCATAAGTTGATGAGGACATACTTAACAGTGAGTAAACTTTAAGTTTCTTTTCTGCTTCTAAAACTTGCTGCACAGATACTAGGTAGTTTGCTCCTGACAACTGCTGATATTCACCAAACCAAGCTTCTAAGTTGTCAGTCTGTAGCTTTCCAAGAAGTATAAAACTGGCTTCTGTGGTTTGCAAATGGATATTTGATTAGAGAAAGCACTGCGGTCACTGTATGCAGCAGTGCACTGTGTGTTTCCTTGGTCAGTTTTCCTTGACAACCTGTCAGCTTGTCCCACTTTCTTAGCCATTCAGCAAACTGTTCAAGATAATGCACTTGTTCATCATCATCATTTGACAAGACAGGATTTGAGAATGAGTTCAGTGTCTTTTTACCTACAAATTTACTTTTCACATTAACAATATGCCACCATCTTCTTCTTCTTCTGCATTCATCCCAAGATGTAGTTGCGTTAGTGTCCGTTTACAGCATGGCTGCGATATTTACACCTTTCAGCCAACACATCCTAATTCTGCGGGCATTTGTTGACTAGGTTAGCCTTCCCGGTATATGCCACCATCTAAGAATGGCTTCAATAAAATCTGCTGTTTCAATACTGCCCACTAGTTGCAGAGCAGCAACATTGTATTCATTTAAAATTGCCAAAGAGAAACGTTATGTCTGTTCATGCTGGAGGGATAGATGGCTTTGTGGAAAAGTTTAGGTGCCAGTTTTGCAATATTCTTTTGCTCACTATAATAGTTTTTTTAAATGAGAAAAGTTAACTTCTGCAGCTCTGTCAGTATCACAGGCGTTTAGCATTTGCCCAGTTATTAAAGGATAAGTAAATGTCTGGTTTGTGTCCTTCTGGTTGACCCAGTTCCTCCACATGCATTTTAGCAAGTGCACAGAATCATGCTGTAAAAATGTTTTTTTATTAGCAAAATCTGGGTTCTCAATAAAAGTTTGGCTTGGTTTCAGGAGATCAGTGTAAACTCTGCGATTAACAGTGCTATTATCAGCAGTTACAGCAACTACTGTCAAACCACACTCCTGTAAAAAGTGAATACAGTGGAGTAAATTCAAATGTAGATCCTGAGATGTCATTCTGTTCACAGGTGAAAGTTCTATTATTTCCTGGTAGCTCCCAAAAACTGAAGATATGACGAAAGCCTGCACTATTGTTGCTGCTTCTTTTGCATTGTCTGCATTGCCAAATATTTTGCCCCCAGAGTAGGTAATTGCAGATTTAACATATATTTCATCCATCTGAACCACTACAATCTTTTCTAGCTCTGTCCGTTTGTCGTGTTTCAATTTCAAGTACTGTGAGATGCTGTCAGTATGAGTAGACAATGACTACTGTAAAGTTAAATTGTGCAGTGTTCTTTGATGAGGTAGGCACAACATACGAGATTTTCTTATAAATCGGTAGCATGCTGGAGATTTAATGAACAGCATGAAAGCGAAACATAATGTGCTACAACTGTAACGCCTTCTGTTTTTTTTAACCAGGTTAACAGTTGCAGCTGCTCTGCCAGAAAATTTACTTCTGTGTCAGTTACTTCACCAGCTGTCCCATTTGGAGTCCACTGTTGCTCTGCAGCACTTTTTAAAATACTTCCTGCTTCTCCCACTAAATCTGTGAAGCTATTTTGGCTTTAAATTTTACTATAATGCCAGGCATTGTAATGAATTACAAGATTTTCAAGCTTTGACCACCTTACAAGTTTATTGTTGTCTACAATCCATTTAAGGTCTTTGTCAACTTTTTTATTTTGAACAAAGACTTGTATAGTCATATCAAGTAATACCTTTATGCTGACACCTATGGATGGTGCAGAGTCTGACTGTATGGTAATGACATACAAAACAATACATGCTAAAGCTCCATCTACAGAAGTGTATTTCCAATTTTTTTCTCCAAATGTCCTTTCAGTTTGTTTCCTATCTGTGACTCCAGATCTGGGAAATCTGTAATGATATCTGAGGACAGCCAATCATTTACTTTTCGATCATAATTACGATTAATGTGTGATACACGTTCCTCTGGAATTTTGCGAGAGGCTAGTACTTTCGCCGATAAATAAGATGGAAGATCTGGAAAGATAGTTGGATAAGCATCTTTTTTAAAGCAGAGTTCTTTATTGGGAGTATATGCTCGATTCCAGATTTGTCTGTATATTTATCAGACACAATAATATCTGACGTATGAAAATGTTTCACATATACTACACTGGTTTTCCCAGGAGTCCAATTTTTCCGTGAAATATTTTTCAGTTATTTGTCTCTTAAAAGAGCATTCAGAGGGGATCCGAAACAACTTACATATCCACTAGAAAGGTCAAAATTTGAACGGCACTCAGGTACAGAACATTTAGCAGACATAGTTCCACGAAAACCAACACACTGACGATAAATCCAAAGCGAATTACAGAAATAACTTACTAAATCTACTCCCTAAAACACCGCTTATAAGTGAATCAGACGTGAAATGAAACCACATTAAAGACTTTGACAAGAAAAATTAAACTAAACACACACTGAAACATCCATTTTGAGTTCGCCCCAGGAAGTGACATTACCACTTTTGTTTACTGGTCTGTACTATCCATGGTCTTACCCTGACAGTCCCACTGTCCTTCTATGACAACCACATTGACTGTTGTTCTAATGTTGACTGTTGTGCTTGTGTTGACTGATGTGCTTGTGTTGACTGTTGTGCTTGTGTTGACTGATGTGCTTGTGTTGACTGATGTGCTTGTGTTGACTGTTGTACTTGTGTTGACTGTTGTACTTGTGTTGACTGTTGTACTCGTGTTGACTGTTGTGCTTGTGTTGACTGATGTACTTGTGTTTACTGTTGTGCTTGTGTTTACTGTTGTGCTTGTGTTTACTGATGTGCTTGTGTTGACTGATGTGCTTGTGTTGACTGTTGTGCTTGTGTTGACTGATGCACTTGTGTTGACTAATGCGCTTGTGTTGACTAATGCGCTTGTGTTGACTAATGCGCTTGTGTTGACTGTTGTGCTTGTGTTGACTGATGTGCTTGTGTTGACTGATGTGCTTGTGTTGACTGATGTGCTTGCTTGTGTTGACTGATGTGCTTGCTTGTGTTGACTGTTTTGCTTGTGTTGACTGTTTTGCTTGTGTTGACTGTTGTGCTTGTGTTGACTGTTGCGCTTGTGTTGACTGTTGTGCTTGTGTTGACTGTTGTGCTTGTGTTGACTGTTGTGCTTGTGTTGACTGTTTTGCTTGTGTTGACTGTTTTGCTTGTGTTGACTGTTTTGCTTGTGTTGACTGTTGCGCTTGTGTTGACTGTTGCGCTTGTGTTGACTGTTGTGCTTATGTTGACTGTTGCGCTTGTGTTGACTGTTGTGCTTGTGTTGACTGCTGTGCTTGTGTTGACTGTTGTGCTTGTGTTGACTGTTGTGCTTGTGTTGACTGTTGTGCTTGTGTTTACTGTTGTGATTGTGTTCACAGTTGGAGGATGTCATGGAGACAGAGACCTACAAGAGAGCACGGGAAATTCTGGAGAAGTTTGATCCAGCCAGACTGCATCATTTGGAGGCAAGCACTTCTTTCTTCTTCTTCTGCTTATGCTTATGTACCAGACAGTATTTGTTGATTGCGTTTCAGTTATCATTATACACACACATACATTTGTATGTTGTTGAAGTGTGACTGTGATGTTGTCAATGCTTATTCACTTTTGTGTTGGTGTTTTGGTTTGTTGATATAACTGTGAGGTTGTCAGTACTATCTTACTTGTGTGTCGGTATGTTGATATAACTGTGAGGTTGTCAGTACTATCTTACTTGTGTGTCAGTATGTTGATTTAACTGTGAGGTTGTCAGTACTATCTTACTTGTGTGTCGGTATGTTGATATAACTGTGGTGTTGTCAGTACTATCTTACTTGTGTGTCGGTATGTTGATATAACTGTGAGGTTGTCAGTACTATCTTACTTATGTGTCGGTATGTTGATATGACTGTGGTGTTGTCAGTACTATCTTACTTGTGTGTCGGTATGTTGATATGACTGTGAGGTTGTCAGTACTATCTTACTTGGGTGTCAGTATGTTGATATGACTGAGAGGTTATCAGTACTATCTTACTTGTGTGTCAGTATGTTGATATAACTGTGGTGTTGTCAGTACTATCTTACTTGTGTGTCGGTATGCTGATATAACTGTGAGGTTGTCAGTACTATCTTACTTGTGTGTCGGTATGTTGATATGACTGTGGTATTGTCAGTACTATCTTACTTGTGTGTCGGTATGTTGATATACTGTGAGGTTGTCAGTACTATCTTACTTTAATTGTCGGTATGTTGATATGACTGTGAGGTTGTCAGTACTATCTTAGTTGTGTGTCGGTATGTTGATATTACTGTGAGCTTGTCAGTACTATCTTACTTGTGTGTTGATCTGTTGATATAACAGTGAGGTCGTCAGTACTATCTTACTTGTGTGTCAGTATGTTGATATGACTGTGAGGTTGTCAGTACTATCTTACTTGTGTGTCGGTATGTTGATATAACTGTGAGGTTGTCAGTACTATCTTACTTGTGTGTCGGTATGTTGATATGACTGTGAGGTTGTCAGTACTATCTTACTTGTGTGTCGGTATGTTGATATGACTGTGGTGTTGTCAGTACTATCTTACTTGTGTGTCGGTATGTTGATATGACTGTGAGGTTGTCAGTACTATCTTACTTGGGTGTCAGTATGTTGATATGACTGAGAGGTTATCAGTACTATCTTACTTGTGTGTCAGTATGTTGATATAACTGTGGTGTTGTCAGTACTATCTTACTTGTGTGTCGGTATGCTGATATAACTGTGAGGTTGTCAGTACTATCTTACTTGTGTGTCGGTATGTTGATATGACTGTGGTATTGTCAGTACTATCTTACTTGTGTGTCGGTATGTTGATATACTGTGAGGTTGTCAGTACTATCTTACTTTAATTGTCGGTATGTTGATATGACTGTGAGGTTGTCAGTACTATCTTAGTTGTGTGTTGGTATGTTGATATTACTGTGAGCTTGTCAGTACTATCTTACTTGTGTATCGGTATGTTGATATGACTGTGAGGTTGTCAGTACTATCTTACTTGTGTGTCAGTATGTTGATATGACTGGGAGGTTATCAGTACTATCTTACTTGTGTGTCGGTATGTTGATGTGACTGTGAGGTTATCAGTACTATCTTACTTGTGTGTCAGTATGTTGATATAACTGTGAGGTTGTCAGTACTATCTTACTTGTGTATCGGTATGTTGATATGACTGTGAGGTTGTCAGTACTATCTTACTTGTGTGTCAGTATGTTGATATGACTGGGAGGTTATCAGTACTATCTTACTTGTGTGTCGGTATGTTGATGTGACTGTGAGGTTGTCAGTACTATCTTACTTGTGTGTCGGTATGTTGATATGACTGTGAGGTTGTCAGTACTATCTTACTTGTGTGTCAGTATGTTGATATGACTGGGAGGTTATCAGTACTATCTTACTTGTGTATCGGTATGTTGATATAACTGTGGTGTTGTCAGTACTATCTTACTTGTGTGTCGGTATGTTGATCTGACTGTGAGGTTGTCAGTACTATCTTACTTGTGTGTCGGTATGTTGATATGACTGTAGTGTTGTCAGTACTATCTTACTTGTGTGTCGGTATGTTGATATGACTGTGAGGTTGTCAGTACTATCTTACTTGTGTGTCAGTATGTTGATTTGACTGTGAGGTTGTCAGTACTATCTTACTTGTGTGTCGGTATGTTGATATAACTGTGAGGTTGTCAGTTTGACTGTGATGTTTTTAACACTATCTCACTTGTAGCAGACTAAAGGTTTGTTGGTTTGACTGTGATGTTTTTAACACTATTTCACTTGTAGCAGACTAAAGGTTTGTTGGTTTGACTGTGATGTTTTTAACACTATTTCACATGTAGCAGACTAAAACTTTGTTGGTTTGAATGTGATGTTTTTAACACTATTTCACTTGTAGCAGACTAAAGGTTTGTTGGTTTGACTGTGATGTTTTTAACACTATCTCACTTGTAGCAGACTAAAGGTTTGTTGGTTTGACTGTGATGTTTTTAACACTATCTCACTTGTAGCAGACTTGAGGTTTGTTGGTTTGACTGTGATGTTTTTAACACTATTTCACTTGTAGCAGGCTAAAGGTTTGTTGGTTTGACTGTGATGTTTTGAACACTATCTCACTTGTTGCAGACTAAAGGTTTGTTGGTTTGACTGTGATGTTTTGAACACTATCTCACTTTTTGCAGACTAAAGGTTTGTTGGTTTGACTAGGATGATGATCTCATCTCTTAGGGGACCCCAGAAGCTGCAGCTGACAGTATATTCAGCCCAACAAAGTCTGCACCTCCATATCTTGGGACAGACAACATCAGTAAGTAGAGAATCTTCCCTGGACAGAATTATCCTCTATGTGTTTGTTCTGTTCACTTTTTTGTCAGACTGAAGCAAGTCATTGCTAATAGACTGGATTGTTGTATGTAGATTGTCAGTTCCAGTCAACAATTGTTCATTTTTCTATTGGCTGTTGCCTGTTGGCATTAGTTGACACACCAGTATGTGTATCTTTGATCTATTATTGATGGTTTGCTTTATCTGTGGCGTTTGTTGTTTGTATGGCTGCTATAGGGAGGCATGAGAATCATTGGCCCTGATGCGTGTGACTTGGCCTCCTGTCCACAGCACAATGCCTTGGCAATGGTTGAGGCTAGGCCAGAAACATTGAAGAAGCAGACAGACTCTGACCCATCCCAGCAGAGATAAAACAATAATCATTGAAACAGTGAGCAGAGGAAACAAGTCAGTGTAACAACAAACTCAAGCTGCACCAAGCTGTTGGTAAATAAGAGCAGTCATAGAGATTACAGATGCAGGCAGTCACACAGTGTGCTCCAGAATAAGCTAAGTGTGTCCGACTGCCACCAGTTATCCTGTTGTTGTAGCCTGAGTGTGTCCGACTGCCACCAGTTATCTTTTTGTTGTAGCCTGAGTGTGTCCGACTGCCACCAGTTATCTTGTTGTTGTAGCCTGAGTGTGTCCAACTGCCACCAGTTATCTTGTTGTTGTAGCCTGAGTGTGTCCAACTGCCACCAGTTATCTTGTTGTTGTAGCCTGAGTGTGTCCGACTGCCACCAGTTATCTTGTTGTTGTAGCCTGAGTGTGTCCAACTGCCACCAGTTATCTTGTTGTTGTAGCCTGAGTGTGTCCAACTGCCACCAGTTATCTTGTTGTTGTAGCCTGAGTGTGTCCAACTGTCACCAGTTATCCTGTTGTTGTAGCCTGAGTGTGTCCAACTGCCATCAGTTATCTTGTTGTTGTAGCCTGTGTTGTCTGACTGCCATCAGTTATCTTGTTATAGCCTGTGTTGTCTGTCTGCCACCAGTTATCTTGTTGTTGTAGCCTGTGTTGTCTGTCATTACGACCCTCTCTGTTGTCTGTCATTACGACTCTCTCTGTTGTCTGTCATTACGACTCTCTCTGTTGTCTGTCATTACGACTCTCTCTGTTGTCTGTCATTACGACTCTCTCTGTTGTCTGTCATTACGACTCTCTCTATTGTCTGCCATTATGACTCTCTCTGTTGTCTGTCATTACGACTCTCTCTGTTGTCTGTCATTATGACTCTCTCTGTTGTCTGTCATTACGACTCTCTCTTTTGTTTGTCATTACGACTCTCTCCTTCCCCACATGTGAAGTTCAATGAGTTGAACATTTGTTTCTATGGTTACAGTGATCCACAAGAGAACATTCCAGACAGCTGGATCATTTCCTGTTAACACACAAGCTTCATCTGCTGCCCTCCAGGAACAGAATGGGGCACCTCATCTGGGGGACTCACAGTCTTCACCAGGGTACCCAGCACAGGCTGAGGCAGCTTCACATTTTGGTGAGCAGTTGCAGTTATATGTGTGTATACAGACAAACCACCTGCATGCACATGCACACACAGACAAACCACCTGCGTGCACATGCATATACAGACAAACCACCTGCATGCACATGCACACACAGACAAACCACCTGTGTGCACATGAAAGTGTCACGTACTGGTCTCAACCAGAATAGAGTGAGAACACCCATCAGCCAGCATATTGTGTGTGGGATGCTATCTTTGTGAATGATTTCCACTTGAAGCCATTGATTACAATGAATTGTGCACTACCATAGAGTCGGACCTGCCCAGCCAAAATAGGATCCCAATAAATGGTGCCAGTTTTTAGAGGCCTCCAGCTTTCCACGAACAACAAATGTGCAGGCAAACATCAGTTGATGTTCTTATGCACTGGAAATGATAGCAGCAAAAAAAATTGTGTTTTTAAAAAATAGCCACAGATGTTTATCCGTACTTGAAAACATCAGTTGTTTAGCCATATAAAACAGATTACAACTTTCCTTTAAACAAAATACTAAAAATAACAGAATAAACATGCAGCATTAGGAAGAAATAGAAAAGTTTCAGTTTCCCACTTCCTTCCAAATCTTTATTGACATAGACCAATTGCTGTCCATGTTTGATGTGACTGGCAATTCAAGACAGCCTGGTTTAGTTTGTCACAACACATGATTGTTGCAGTTTTTATTGGGGATTTTCTCCTGTATGTACATTGATCAGTGGGGTTGTCAAGATGGCTGCTAGACTGGCAACATGCACCAAGCAACAGGGTTCCATTGTCAGATGGTTGAACAGTTAACCTTTAGAATGGTTTAACCTGTAGAACAGTTGGTTCAACCTGTAGAACAGTTGGTTTAACCTGTAGAACAGTTGGTTTAACCTGTAATACAGTTGGTTTAACCTGTATAACAGTTGGTTTAACCTGTATAACAGTTGGTTTAACCTGTATAACAGTTGGTTTAACCTGTAGAACAGTTGGTTTAACCTGTAGAACAGTTGGTTAACCTGTAGAACAGTTGGTTTAACCTGTAGAACAGTTTAACCTGTAGAATGGTTTAACCTGTAGAACAGTTGGTTAACCTGTAGAACAGTTGGTTAACCTATAGAACAGTTTAACCTGTAGAATGGTTTAACCTGTAGAACAGTTGGTTAACCTGTAGAACAGTTTAACCTGTAGAATGGTTTAACCTGTAGAACAGTTGGTTCAACCTGTAGAACAGTTGGTTTAACCTTATAACAGTTGGTTTAACCTGTAGAACAGTTGGTTTAACATGTAGAACAGTTGGTTAACCTGTAGAACAGTTAGTTTAACCTGTAGAAAAGTTTAACCTGTAGAATGGTTAAACCTGTAGAACAGTTGGTTTACCTGTAGAACAGTTTAACCTGTAAAATGGTTTAACCTGTAGAACAGTTGGTTAACCTGTAGAACAGTTGCTTTAACCTGTAGAACAGTTTAACCTGTAGAATGGTTAACCTGTAGAACAGTTGGTTTAACCTGTAGAACAGTTTTACCTGTAGAATAGTTTAACCTGTAGAACAGTTGGTTAACATGTAGAACAGTTGGTTAACCTGTAGAATGGTTTAACCTGTAGAACAGTTGGTTAACCTGTAGAACAGTTTAACATGTAGAACAGTTGGTTAACCTGTAGAACAGTTGGTTAACCTGTAGAACAGTTGGTTAACCTGTAGAACAGTTGGTTAACCTGTAGAACAGTTTAACCTGTAGAACAGTTTAACCTGTAGAACAGTTGGTTAACCTGTAGAACAGTTTAACCCGTAGAACAGTTTAACCTGCAGAATGGTTTAACCTGTAGAACAGTTGGTTAACCTGTAGAACAGTTGGTTAACCTGTAGAATGGTTTAACCTGTAAAACAGTTTAACCTGTAGAATAGTTTAACCTGTAGAACAGTTGGTTAACATGTAGAACAGTTGGTTAACCTGTAGAACAGTTTAACCTGTAGAATGGTTTAACCTGTAGAACAGTTGGTTAACCTGTAGAACAGTTTAACCTGTAGAACAGTTGGTTAACCTGTAGAACGGTTAACCTGTAGAACAGTTGGTTAACCTGTAGAACAGTTGGTTAACCTGTAGAACAGTTTAACCTGTAGAACAGTTTAACCTGTAGAACAGTTGGTTAACCTGTAGAACAGTTTAACCCGTAGAACAGTTTAACCTGTAGAACAGTTGGTTAACCTGTAGAATGGTTTAACCTGTAAAACAGTTTAACCTGTAGAACAGTTTAATCTGTAGAACAGTTGGTTAACCTGTAGAACAGTTGGTTTAAACTGTAGAACAGTTTAACCTGTAGAATGGTTTAACCTGTAGAACAGTTGGTTAACCTGTAGAACAGTTGGTTAACCTGTAGAACAGTTGGTTAACCTGTAGAACAGTTGGTTAACCTGTAGAACAATTTAACCTGTAGAACAGTTGGTTAACCTGTAGAACAGTTGGTTAACCTGTAGAACAGTTTAACCTGTAGAATGGTTTAACATGTAGAACAGTTGGTTAACCTGTAGAACAGTTGGTTAACCTGTAGAACAGTTGGTTAACCTGTAGAACAGTTTAACCTGTAGAACAGTTTAACAGAGCAGTGTTAGGTGTTGTCATTGTATCTATCGGCTGGTTCATGATTTCAGCACTATAAATCCACTGCTGTCTTCCTCTTTTTTGTTGAAATCAAAACACTCCATTTGTCAATTCCACACATCTATGAGTTATAACTCCACACATTAGTAAATTATTGGTTCCATGTTCATTGTTAATTTGTCACATTAGTTTATTGCTAATTCCCCGCAGATGTGCACTTGATTCCCGACAGAGGTGCACTTGATTCCTTGCAGATGTGCACTCATTCTTGGCAAAGATGCACTTGATTCCCTGCAGATGTGCACTTGATTCCCTTCAGAGGTGCACTTGATTCCATTCAGATGTGCACTTGATTTCCTGCAGAGGTGCACTTGATTCCCTGCAGATGTGCACCTGATTCCCTGCAGATGTGCACTTGATTCCCTGCAGAAGTGCACTCAATTCCCTGGAGAAGTGCATTTGATTCCCTGCAGAAGTGCACTTGATTCCCTGCAGGAATGTTGTGGTCATTCTGTACATAAGTATTACTTGTCGCTGCTACAGCACAGCCTCCTCGACCACCGATGCCTCGGTCAGTGCTGCCCAGGGAGAGAGGTGTGATGGACAAACTGATGGACTATCTGGTCGGCGATGGACCAGAGAACAGATACGCCCTCATTTGTCAGCAGTGCTACTCTCACAACGGCATGGCTCTGAAGGAGGAGTTTGAATATTTCAGTGAGTTGTGTTTTAGTTTGTTAGCCTTGTCTTTGTGGCATCATAAGTTTGTTATCCTTGTCTTTGTGGCATCATAAGTTTGTTATCCTTGTCTTTGTGGTATCTTAAGTTTGTTATCCTTGTCTTTGTGGCATCATAAGTTTGTTATCCTTGTCTTTGTGGCATCATAAGTTTGTTATCCTTGTCTTTGTGGCATCATAAGTTTGTTATCCTTTTCTTTGTGGCATAATACGTTTGTTATCCTTGTCTTTGTGGCATCAAAAGTGTTGCTAATTTGTAGTCGGCATGTGGCTGTTTAGTAGGTATCTGGATAGTGGTTGTAAGACAATACTGTTAATAGTGTCTGAATAAGAGATGTACGACTGTAATTCTGTTCCTTAATAAACATGATTTCTAGTTGTTATTCTTTTATTCCATCGTTAGTTTGTAGAGTGTAGGTGTTGTATCACTGTTGGTTGTTGTAGTCTTTATACTACTTGACAATACTGATACTACATGACAGCTCTTTTTACCTTCACTGACTATAGACTGAACGCCTGGGGTATAGACTTGAGACTGATTACTGTACTCCCCACATAGGAGAACATTTTACCTTCACTGACTATAGACTGAACGCCGGGGGTATAGGCTTTAGACTTGTTACTGTACTCCCCACATAGGAGAACATTTTCTCTTCTTATGCATCCTTTAACTGTTGTTCTTCTTGTCTGTCTGTCTCTGCTTTTATATCCTCTTCTTTGTCTATTTAAAATGCACTTGTTACACACCTGTGTGAGGATTCATCTGTGTGAGAGGATTCATCTATGTGAGAGAATTCATCCATGAGTGGATTCATTTGTGTATGTGTGGATTCGTCTGTGTATTTTTGGATTCATGTGTTTGAGTGGATTCATCTATGTATGAGTGAATTCATCAGTGTATGAGTGGATTCAATTGTGTATGAGTGAATTCATCAGTGTTTCTATGGATAATCTGTATATGAGAAGAGTCATGTGTATACGACTGAAGACATATGTATGAATGGAGTCATGTGTGTATGAGTAAGGTCATCTGTGTATGAATAGAGAAATTTGTATTTGAATGTAATCATGTGTGTATGTGTGGATTCATCTGTGCATGGGAGGAGTTGTGTGTGTATGTGTGGATTCATCTGTGCATGAAAGGAGTCATGTGTGTATATATGGAGTCATGTGTGTATGAATGGAGTCATGTGCTTATAAATGGAGTCATGTGTGTATGAGCAAAGTCATCTGTGTATGAATGGAGTCATCTGTGTTTGAGTGAATCCATCTGTGTATGAATGGAGTCATGTGTGAAAGTGGAATTTCTGTAGGTAGACTGGTTCAATTATGGTTACTGATCTTATTGTGTACTTTAGATTTCTTCTCTTGCTGTGGTCTTGAGTCAATGGTAGACGTATTCTCTTGCTGTGGTCTTGAGTCAATGGTAGACATATTCTCTTGCTGTAGTCTTGAGTCAATGGTAGACATATTCTCTTGCTGTGGTCTTGAGTCAATGGTAGACATATTCTCTTGCTGTGATCTTGAGTCAATGGTAGAAGTATTCTCTTGCTGTGGTCTTGAGTCAATGGTAGAAGTATTCTCTTGCTGTGGTCTTGAGTCAATGGTAGACGTATTCTCTTGCTGTGATCTTGAGTCAATGGTAGAAGTATTCTCTTGCTGTGATCTTGAGTCAATGGTAGAAGTATTCTCTTGCTGTGGTCTTGAGTCAATGGTAGACATATTCTCTTGCTGTAGTCTTGAGTCAATGGTAGACGTATTCTCTTGCTGTGATCTTGAGTCAATGGTAGACATATTCTCTTGCTGTAGTCTTGAGTCAATGGTAGATGTATTCTCTTGCTGTAGTCTTGAGTCAATGGTAGAAGTATTCTCTTGCTGTGATCTTGAGTCAATGGTAGAAGTATTCTCTTGCTGTGGTCTTGAGTCAATGGTAGAAGTATTCTCTTGCTGTAGTCTTGAGTCAATGGTAGAAGTATTCTCTTGCTGTGGTCTTGAGCCAATGGTAGAAGTATTCTCTTGCTGTGGTCTTGAGTCAATGGTAGAAGTATTCTCTTGCTGTGGTCTTGAGTCAATGGTAGAAGTATTCTCTTGCTGTGATCTTGAGTCAATGGTAGAAGTATTCTCTTGCTGTGGTCTTGAGTCAATGGTAGAAGTATTCTCTTGCTGTGGTCTTGAGTCAATGGTAGAAGTATTCTCTTGCTGTGATCTTGAGTCAATGGTAGACATATTCTCTTGCTGTGGTCTTGAGTCAATGGTAGAAGTATTCTCTTGCTGTGGTCTTGAGTCAATGGTAGAAGTATTCTCTTGCTGTGGTCTTGAGTCAATGGTAGAAGTATTCTCTTGCTGTGGTCTTGAGTCAATGGTAGACATATTCTCTTGCTGTGGTCTTGAGTCAATGGTAGAAGTGTTCTCTTGCTGTGATCTTGAGTCAATGGTAGAAGTATTCTCTTGCTGTGGTCTTGAGTCAATGGTAGACATATTCTCTTGCTGTGGTCTTGAGTCAATGGTAGAAGTATTCTCTTGCTGTGGTCTTGAGTCAATGGTAGAAGTATTCTCTTGCTGTGATCTTGAGTCAATGGTAGAAGTATTCTCTTGCTGTAGTCTTGAGTCAATGGTATAAGTATTCTCTTGCTGTGGTCTTGAGTCAATGGTAGAAGTATTCTCTTGCTGTGGTCTTGAGTCAATGGTAGACATATTCTCTTGCTGTGGTCTTGAGTCAATGGTAGAAGTATTCTCTTGCTGTGATCTTGAGTCAATGGTAGAAGTATTCTCTTGCTGTGATCTTGAGTCAATGGTAGAAGTATTCTCTTGCTGTGATCTTGAGTCAATGGTAGAAGTATTCTCTTGCTGTGATCTTGAGTCAATGGTAGAAGTATTCTCTTGCTGTGTCTTGAGTCAATGGTAGAAGTATTCTCTTGCTGTAGTCTTGAGTCAATGGTAGAAGTATTCTCTTGCTGTAGTCTTGAGTCAATGGTAGAAGTATTCTCTTGCTGTGGTCTTGAGTCAATGGTAGAAGTATTCTCTTGCTGTGGTCTTGAGTCAATGGTAGACATATTCTCTTGCTGTGGTCTTGAGTCAATGGTAGAAGTATTCTCTTGCTGTGGTCTTGAGTCAATGGTAGAAGTATTCTCTTGCTGTGGTCTTGAGTCAATGGTAGAAGTATTCTCTTGCTGTGGTCTTGAGTCAATGGTAGAAGTATTCTCTTGCTGTGGTCTTGAGTCAATGGTAGAAGTATTCTCTTGCTGTGGTCTTGAGTCAATGGTAGAAGTATTCTCTTGCTGTGGTCTTGAGTCAATGGTAGACATATTCTCTTGCTGTAGTCTTGAGTCAATGGTAGAAGTATTCTCTTGCTGTGGTCTTGAGTCAATGGTAGAAGTATTCTCTTGCTGTGGTCTTGAGTCAATGGTAGAAGTATTCTCTTGCTGTGGTCTTGAGCCAATGGTAGACATATTCTCTTGCTGTGGTCTTGAGTCAATGGTAGACATATTCTCTTGCTGTGGTCTTGAGTCAATGGTAGAAGTATTCTCTTGCTGTGATCTTGAGTCAATGGTAGATGTATTCTCTTGCTGTGGTCTTGAGTCAATGGTAGAAGTATTCTCTTGCTGTGGTCTTGAGTCAATGGTAGAAGTATTCTCTTGCTGTGATCTTGAGTCAATGGTAGACATATTCTCTTGCTGTGATCTTGAGTCAATGGTAGAAGTATTCTCTTGCTGTGGTCTTGAGTCAATGGTAGAAGTATTCTCTTGCTGTGGTCTTGAGTCAATGGTAGAAGTATTCTCTTGCTGTGGTCTTGAGTCAATGGTAGAAGTATTCTCTTGCTGTGATCTTGAGTCAATGGTAGACATATTCTCTTGCTGTGGTCTTGAGCCAATGGTAGAAGTATTCTCTTGCTGTGATCTTGAGTCAATGGTAGAAGTATTCTCTTGCTGTGGTCTTGAGTCAATGGTAGAAGTATTCTCTTGCTGTGATCTTGAGTCAATGGTAGAAGTATTCTCTTGCTGTGGTCTTGAGTCAATGGTAGAAGTATTCTCTTGCTGTGATCTTGAGTCAATGGTAGAAGTATTCTCTTGCTGTGGTCTTGAGTCAATGGTAGAAGTATTCTCTTGCTGTGATCTTGAGTCAATGGTAGAAGTATTCTCTTGCTGTGATCTTGAGTCAATGGTAGAAGTATTCTCTTGCTGTAGTCTTGAGTCAATGGTAGAAGTATTCTCTTGCTGTGATCTTGAGTCAATGGTAGAAGTATTCTCTTGCTGTGGTCTTGAGTCAATGGTAGAAGTATTCTCTTGCTGTGGTCTTGAGTCAATGGTAGAAGTATTCTCTTGCTGTGATCTTGAGTCAATGGTAGATGTATTCTCTTGCTGTGGTCTTGAGTCAATGGTAGAAGTATTCTCTTGCTGTGGTCTTGAGTCAATGGTAGAAGTATTCTCTTGCTGTGGTCTTGAGTCAATGGTAGAAGTATTCTCTTGCTGTAGTCTTGAGTCAATGGTAGAAGTATTCTCTTGCTGTGGTCTTGAGTCAATGGTAGAAGTATTCTCTTGCTGTGATCTTGAGTCAATGGTAGATGTATTCTCTTGCTGTGGTCTTGAGTCAATGGTAGAAGTATTCTCTTGCTGTGATCTTGAGTCAATGGTAGAAGTATTCTCTTGCTGTGGTCTTGAGTCAATGGTAGAAGTATTCTCTTGCTGTGATCTTGAGTCAATGGCTGTAGAGTCAAGTAGTATTCTCTTGCTGTGATCTTGAGTCAATGGTAGAAGTATTCTCTTGCTGTGATCTTGAGTCAATGGTAGAAGTATTCTCTTGCTGTGATCTTGAGTCAATGGTAGAAGTATTCTCTTGCTGTGATCTTGAGTCAATGGTAGACGTATTCTCTTGCTGTGATCTTGAGTCAATGGTAGAAGTATTCTCTTGCTGTGGTCTTGAGTCAATGGTAGAAGTATTCTCTTGCTGTGGTCTTGAGTCAATGGTAGAAGTATTCTCTTGCTGTGATCTTGAGTCAATGGTAGAAGTATTCTCTTGCTGTGGTCTTGAGCCAATGGTAGAAGTATTCTCTTGCTGTGGTCTTGAGTCAATGGTAGACATATTCTCTTGCTGTGGTCTTGAGCCAATGGTAGAAGTATTCTCTTGCTGTGGTCTTGAGTCAATGGTAGACATATTCTCTTGCTGTGGTCTTGAGTCAATGGTAGAAGTATTCTCTTGCTGTGGTCTTGAGTCAATGGTAGAAGTATTCTCTTGCTGTGGTCTTGAGCCAATGGTAGAAGTATTCTCTTGCTGTGGTCTTGAGTCAATGGTAGACATATTCTCTTGCTGTGATCTTGAGCCAATGGTAGACATATTCTCTTGCTGTGGTCTTGAGTCAATGGTAGAAGTATTCTTTTGCTGTGGTCTTGAGTCAATGGTAGACATATTCTCTTGCTGTGATCTTGAGTCAATGGTAGAAGTATTCTCTTGCTGTGATCTTGAGTCAATGGTAGACATATTCTCTTGCTGTGATCTTGAGTCAATGGTAGAAGTATTCTCTTGCTGTGGTCTTGAGTCAATGGTAGAAGTATTCTCTTGCTGTGATCTTGAGTCAATGGTAGAAGTATTCTCTTGCTGTGGTCTTGAGTCAATGGTAGAAGTATTCTCTTGCTGTGATCTTGAGTCAATGGTAGAAGTATTCTCTTGCTGTGGTCTTGAGTCAATGGTAGAAGTATTCTCTTGCTGTGGTCTTGAGTCAATGGTAGAAGTATTCTCTTGCTGTGGTCTTGAGTCAATGGTAGAAGTATTCTCTTGCTGTGGTCTTGAGTCCATGGTAGAAGTATTCTCTTGCTGTAGTCTTGAGTCAATGGTAGAAGTATTCTCTTGCTGTGGTCTTGAGTCAATGGTAGACGTATTCTCTTGCTGTGGTCTTGAGTCAATGGTAGACATATTCTCTTGCTGTGGTCTTGAGTCAATGGTAGAAGTATTCTCTTGCTGTGGTCTTGAGTCAATGGTAGACGTATTCTCTTGCTGTGATCTTGAGCCAATGGTAGACATATTCTCTTGCTGTAGTCTTGAGTCAATGGTAGACGTATTCTCTTGCTGTAGTCTTGAGTCAATGGTAGACATATTCTCTTGCTGTAGTCTTGAGTCAATGGTAGACGTATTCTCTTGCTGTGGTCTTGAGTCAATGGTAGAAGTATTCTCTTGCTGTGGTCTTGAGTCAATGGTAGAAGTATTCTCTTGCTGTGGTCTTGAGTCAATGGTAGAAGTATTCTCTTGCTGTGATCTTGAGTCAATGGTAGAAGTATTCTCTTGCTGTGATCTTGAGTCAATGGTAGAAGTATTCTCTTGCTGTGGTCTTGAGTCAATGGTAGAAGTATTCTCTTGCTCTGCCTGTAGGTTTCCGTTGTTGCTATTGTTACTGCATCAACCCGGCCAGGAAGCAGCGGCCCATGGCTCCAAGACTTCAGTTCTTTGCCCCACCTGGCTTGAGACCGGCAGACGGTGCAGGTGAAACAGGTAAAACATGTTTGTTGAAGTCCTGAAATGTCAGTATTCAGCAGTGCCTTTTAGTGTTTATAGCTCTGTTAATTTTTAGCATCAGTATGTCCTTATGATAGTTTATTGTCTGTCTGTCTGTCTGCTTTAAATGTCAGTGTCTTCTTGTGATACTGGAATTGTCTGTCTGTCTCAGTCTGACATGACTTTGATGCCCTGATATAGAAGAGACATGACTTTGATGCCCTGACAAAGAAGAGACATGACTTTGATGTCCTGATATAGAAGAGACATAACTTTGGTGCCCTGATATAGAAGAGACATGACTGTGATGCCCTGATATAGAAGAGACATAACTTTGGTGCCCTGATATAGAAGAAACATGACTTTGATGCCCTGATATAGAAGAGACATGACTTTGGTGCCCTGATATAGAAGAAACATGACTTTGGTGCCCTTATATAGAAGAGACACGACTTTGATGCCCTGATATAGAAGAGACATGACTTTGGTGCCCTGATATAGAAGAGACATGATTTTGATGCCCTGATATAAAAGAGACATGACTTTGATGCCCTGATATAGAAGAGACATGCCTTTGATGCCCTGATATAGAAGAGATATGACTTTGATGCCCTGATATAGAAGAGACATGACTTTGATGCCCTAATGTAGAATAGACATGACTTTGATGCCCTGGGATAGAAGAGACCTGACTTTGATGCCCTAATGTAGAATAGACATGACTTTGATGCCCTGATATAGAAGAGACATGACTTTGGTGCCCTGATATATAAGAGACATGACTTTGATGCCCTGATATAGAAGAGACCTGTCTTTGATGCCCTAATGTAGAATAGACATGACTTTGATGCGCTGGAATAGATGAGACCTGACTTTTGTGCCCTGATATAGAAGAGACCTGACTTTGATGCCCTGGAATAGAAGAGACATGACTTTGATGCCCTGATATAGAAGAGACATGACTTTGGTGCCCTGATAAAGAAGAGACATGACTTTGATGCCCTGATATAGAAGAGACCTGTCTTTGGTGCCCTAATGTAGAATAGACATGACTTTGATGCCCTGGGATAGAAGAGACATGACGTTGATGCCCTAGGATAGTTTAAAAAAAATTTAGAAAACAAAATATTAAAGACTTAGCAACACTGGTAGCCACATTCCACTGTCAGAGAACATATGAGACAGTTTTTAAAGACTAGGATATAGAGCCAATTTTAATGTATGGCTTTGATACCTGGACGATTAATAAACAGGCCAAAACCTATTCTTGAGACCTCGAAGGGGATTTTGCAGAAGAATCCTTAGAATTCATCGGACAGCTCAAATGTTTTAAAAAAAGGCATGGGTTCGAAGACAGCTTATTACAAATATAAGAAAACAACGATCATTTTTTTTGGGGGGGGGGGGGTTATGTCATGAGAAGAGGTAGACTGGAACATGTTGTGACCACTGGAATGATCTGTGGAAAGAGATGCAGAGGATGACAGCGCAACAGGATTCTTGACAGCCTTTTATCATGACATGGAGAGGTGTCAATGCATGAACTGATACACACAGTTGTGGATCACAGATTGTGGAGAGGCATGATCAAACACCCCAGTCGGCAAAGCACTTGATGATGATTAATATAGAAGAGGAAAGACTAAACAAGAATGAAGGTGCCTTTGAAACTCTTGTTAGAAGACATTCCGCTGAACAATCCTGCCAAGTGGATCTTACCCTGAGATAGAAGACATTCCGCTGAACAATCCTGCCAAGTAGATCTTACCCTGAGATAGAAGACATTCAACAGAACAATCCTGCCAAGTGGATCTTACCCTGAGTTAGAAGACATTCGGCTGAACAATCCTGCCAAGTGGCTCTTACCCTGAGTTAGAAGACATTCCGCTGAACAATCCTGCCAAGTGGCTCTTACCCTGAGTTAGAAGACATTCGGCTGAACAATCCTGCCAAGTGGATCTTACCCTGAGATAGAAGACATTCCGCTGAACAATCCTGCCAAGTGGATCTTACCCTGAGATAGAAGACATTCCGCTGAACAATCCTGCCAAGTGGCTCTTACCCTGAGAAAAAAGACATTCCGCTGAACAATCCTGCCAAGTAGCTCTTACCTTGAGATAGAAGACATTCCACTGAACAATCCTGCCAAGTGGCTCTTACCCTGAGATGGAGGACATTCCGCTGAACAATCCCGCTAAGTGGATCTTACCGTGAGATAGAAGACATTCCACTGAACAATCCGGCCAAGTGGATCTTATCCTGAGATAGAAGACATTCCGCTGAACAATCCTGCCAAGTGGATCTTACCCTGAGATAGAAGACATTCCGCTGAACAATCCTGCCAAGTAGATCTTACCCTGAGATAGAAGACATTCAACAGAACAATCCTGCCAAGTGGATCTTACCCTGAGTTAGAAGACATTCGGCTGAACAATCCTGCCAAGTGGCTCTTACCCTGAGTTAGAAGACATTCCGCTGAACAATCCTGCCAAGTGGCTCTTACCCTGAGTTAGAAGACATTCGGCTGAACAATCCTGCCAAGTGGATCTTACCCTGAGATAGAAGACATTCCGCTGAACAATCCTGCCAAGTGGATCTTACCCTGAGATAGAAGACATTCCGCTGAACAATCCTGCCAAGTGGCTCTTACCCTGAGAAAAAAGACATTCCGCTGAACAATCCTGCCAAGTAGCTCTTACCTTGAGATGAAGACATTCCACTGAACAATCCTGCCAAGTGGCTCTTACCCTGAGATGGAGGACATTCCGCTGAACAATCCCGCTAAGTGGATCTTACCGTGAGATAGAAGACATTCCACTGAACAATCCGGCCAAGTGGATCTTATCCTGAGATAGAAGACATTCCGCTGAACAATCCTGCCAAGTGGATCTTACCCTGAGATAGAAGACATTCCGCTGAACAATCCGGCCAAGTGGCTCTTACCTTGAGATAGAAGAGACTAAACTAAATGCAATTTTGTATATCTGCCTTTCAGTTATTATTTTTTTTTTTAAGTCTCTGTTTTAATATTGTATTTTTATTGTTCATTTCCATGTAGATACAAGCGCAAGTGACCCAGACAGTGATGATGACCATCAAGTTGATGACCGGAATGCTAGCCATCAAATCCCCTCACAGACTGGCATATCTGAGTGTGTTTCTGCAGTCAAGACCGTGGGGCCAGTTGATTCTCTACCTTCGGGTAATGCAGGTGAAAGTCTAGATTCTCTGGCTTCAGGTAACACAGGAAAAAGTCTAGATTCTCTGGCTACAGGTAACACAGGAGAAAGTCCAGATCCTCTAGCTTCAAGTAACACAAGAGAAAGTCTAGATGCTGAACTAGTTGACATCAGGTTGAAGAGACCAAGTCTAGATTGTGGAGCTATGAAACGGAGAGATGGAGAGTCCAAAAGTGCTATAGAAGGAACACATTCAGCTCATAGTGTTGAAATGGTTTCACTAGAGAACTCAGCCAGAACCCTGGAGACAGAACTTCATGATGAGGAGAAACAGCCTGGTGTTGAGCTGCATCAGGCAACAAGAGGGAAGCTTCAACACATGACTACACACCTAGACCAACATTCAGACAAACAAGAACCTGAAAGCACAGAGATCCAACATTCAGACAAACAAGAACCTGAAACACCAGAGATCCAACATTCAGACAAACAAGAACCTGAAACACCAGAGATCCAACATTCAGACAAACAAGAACCTGAAACACCAAAGATCCAACATATAGACAGACAAGAACCTGAAACACCAGAGATCCAACATTCAGACAGACAAGAACCTGAAACACCAGAGATCCAACATTCAGACAAACAAGAACCTGAAACACCAGAGATCCAACATTCAGACAAACAAGAACCTGAAACACCAGAGATCCAACATTCAGACAAACAAGAACCTGACAACTCAAAGTTCCAACATTCAGACAAACAAGAACCTGGCACCTCAGATATCCAACATTCAGACAAACAAGAACCTGAAACCCCAGAGATCCACTATTCAAACAAACATGAACCTATATTGCCAGAGATCCAACATTCAAATAAACAAGAACTTGAAACCACAGAGATCCAACATTCAGACAAACAAGAACCTGAAACACCAGAGATCCAACATTCAGACAAACAAGAACCTGAAACACCAAAGATCCAACATATAGACAAACAAGAACCTGAAACACCAGAGATCCAACATTCAGACAAACAAGAACCTGAAACACCAGAGATCCAACATTCAGACAAACAAGAACCTAAAACACCAGAGATCCAACATTTAGACAAACAAGAACCTGAAACTCCAGAGATCCAACATTCAGACAAACAAGAACCTGAAACCCCAGAGATCCAAGATTCAGACAAACAAGAACCTGAAACACCAGAGATCCAAGATTCAGACAAACAAGAACCTGAAACACCAGAGATCCAAGATTCAGACAAACAAGAACCTGAAACACCAGAGATCCAACATTTAGACAAACAAGAACCTGAAACTCCAGAGATCCAACATTCAGACAAACAATAACCTGAAACCTCAGAGATCCAACATTCAGACAAACAAGAACCTGGCACCTCAGAGATCCAACATTCAGACAAACAAGAACCTGAAACCCCAGAGCTTGAACACTTGACTGCATGTGTAGACTAACATTCAGACCAACAACCTGAAAACCTGCACGTCGTGACATCATTGGAGCATGAGGTCACATTTACAAGGTCTTGCTTCCAGCTACGCATAGAACCAGGGAAAGACACTATCATTCAGAGTCATAGATTGTGCAATGAATATCTTGGGACTGACTGTCCCCCACTGTAGGTTCTTTGCCTGGTGTCTGCGGGAGCTTTAAGGAAAGATCATGGCAGTAACAGCAACATGGGTGAGTCTGATCATGACAGTGACAGCACCATGGGTGAGTCTGATCATGACAGTGACAGCAACATGGGTGAGTCTGATCATGACAGTAACAGCAACATGGGTGAGTCTGATCATGACAGTAATAGCAACATGGGTAAGTCAGATCATGGAGGTAATAGCAACATGGGTGAGTCTGATCATGACAGTGACAGCAATATGTGTGAGTCTGATAATGACAGTAACAGCAACATGGGTGAGTCTGATCATGACAGTGACAGCACCATGGGTGAGTCTGATCATGACAGTAATAGCAACATGGGTGAGCCTGATCGTGACAGTGACAGCAACATGGGTGAGTCTGATCATGACAGTGACAGCAACATGGGTGAGTCTGATCATGACAGTAACAGCAACATGGGTGAGTCTGATCATGACAGTAATAGCAACATGGGTAAGTCCGATCATGGAGGTAATAGCAACACGGGTGAGTCTGATCATGACAGTAATAGCAACATGGGTGAGTCTGATCATGACAGTAATAGCAACATGGGTAAGTCCGATCATGGAGGTAATAGCAACATGGGTGAGTCTGATTATGACAGTAATAGCAACATGGGTGAGTTTGATCATGACAGTGACAGCAACATGGGTGAGTCTGATCATGACAGTAATAGCAACATGGGTGAGCCTGATCATGACAGTGACAGCAATATGTGTGAGTCTGATCATGACAGTAATAGCAACATGGATGAGTCTGATCATGACAGTGACAGCAACATGGGTGAGTCTGATCATGACAGTAATAGCAACATGGGTGAGTCTGATCATGACAGTGACAGCAACATGGGTGAGTCTGATCATGACAGTAACAGCAACATGGGGGAGTCTGATCATGACAGTAACAGCAACATGGGTGAGTCTGATCATGACAGTAACAGCAACATGGGTGAGTCTGATCATGGCAGTGACAGCAACATGGGTGAGTCTGATCATGACAGTGACAGCAACAAGAAGGGTGAAACCAAATGAAATGGAGTAAGTACATGCACCAGACTTTCTCACAAGATGGCTTTACTAGCTCTCAATTTTGGTGGAAAGTTCTGGTTATTTGTCCACCATCTGGACTTTTGTCTTGTTCCAGAACTTGGGTGTTGCTTGCACATCAGTTTAACAGATCTGACCTAATTGTATGCAGATTGTTGGTTCCTTGCCTCTCAGGCAGGTGCGTCTCATGCATTGGATCATCTTATACTTGGGGAAGTACAGTAGTTGCCAGACCACCACCAGCAGATGCGGGAGGCACCAGCCAGTATTAGCCCGGTTTCCCTCAGTCTTTCAGGGCAGACAAGCCCAGAGTTGCAATGTTTGTTGCTATAACTACAGATTTGTTTCTACACAATCATGCTTTTTTGTTGTTGTTGTTGAAATTGCTGTTGTGTGTGTTTGCTTCAGTTGGTGATGGAATCCTTGCTTCACTTCACTCATTAGTAAAAAGCTGTCTTCATATTGCGCTGTTTTCATATTATGCTGTCTTCATATTGTGCTGTCTTCATATTATGCTGTCTTCATATTATGCTGTCTTCATATTGTGCTGTCTTCATATTATGCTGTCTTCATATTATGCTGTCTTCATATTGTGCTGTCTTCATATTATGCTGTCTTCATATTGTGCTGTCTTCATATTGCACTGTTTTCATATTGTGCTGTCTTCATATTGTGCTGTCTTCATATTATGCTGTCTTCATATTATGCTGTCTTCATATTGTGCTGTCTTCATATTATGCTGTCTTCATATTATGCTATCTTCATATTGTGCTGTCTTCATATTGTGCTGTCTTCATATTGTGCTGTCTTCATATTGTGCTGTCTTCATATTGTGCTGTCTTCATATTATGCTGTCTTCATATTGTGCTGTCTTCATATTGTGCTGTCTTCATATTGTGCTGTCTTCATATTGTGCTGTCTTTATATTATGCTGTCTTCATATTGTGCTGTCTTCATATTGTGCTGTTTTCATATTATGCTGTTTTCATATTGTGCTGTCTTCATATTGTGCTGTCTTCATATTATGCTGTCTTCATATTATGCTGTCTTCATATTGTGCTGTCTTCATATTGCACTGTTTTCATATTGTGCTGTCTTCATATTGTGCTGTCTTCATATTATGCTGTCTTCATATTGTGCTGTCTTCATATTGTGCTGTCTTCATATTATGCTGTCTTCATATTGTGCTGTCTTCATATTGTGCTGTCTTCATATTGTGCTGTCTTCATATTATGCTGTCTTCATATTGTGCTGTCTTCATATTGTGCTGTCTTCATATTGTGCTGTCTTCATATTGTGCTGTCTTTATATTATGCTGTCTTCATATTGTGCTGTCTTCATATTGCGCTGTTTTCATATTATGCTGTCTTCATATTGTGTTGTCTTCATATTGTGCTGTCTTCATATTGCGCTGTTTTCATATTATGCTGTCTTCATATTATGCTGTCTTCATATTGTGCTGTCTTCATATTGCACTGTTTTCATATTGTGCTGTCTTCATAATGTGCTTGTTTTTTAGAATGGTTTCAAAGGTATGGATAGTTGTAGAAATTTTAACTAGGTGTCCATGTATGGCATAGACACAATGAAATGTGGAGCTAGGTGTCCATGTCTGGCACAGAGAAATATGGAGCTAAATGTCCATGTTTGGCACAGGCACAGAGAAATGTGGTGCTATATATCCAGGTTTAGCATAGACACAGAGAAAGGTGGAGCTAGATGTCCATGTTCAGTGCAGGCACAGAGAAATATGGAGCTAAGTGTCCATGTTTGGTATAGACACAAAAATGTGGAGCTAAGTGTCTATATTTGGCATAGACACAGAAATATGGAGTTATATGTCCATGTTTGACATAGCAAGGGAAATAGGGATCTAGGTGTCCTTGTTTGGCACAGAAACAGAGAAATGTGAAGCTAGATGTCCATGTTCGGTGCAGGCACAGAAATATGGAGCTAGGTGTCCATGTTTAGTATAGACACAAAAATGTGGAGCTAAGTGTCCATGTTTGGCACAGACACAGAAATGTCGAGTTAGATGTCCATGTTTGGCGTAGACACAAATGTGGAGCTAGGTGTCCATGTTTGGCACAGACATTTTAGAAATGTGCAGCTAGATGTCCATGTTTCGCACAGACACAGAAATGTGCAGCTAGATGTCCATGTTTGGCATAGACACAGAGAAGTATGGAGCTAGGTGTTCATGTTTGGCACAGACACAGAAATGTGGAGCTAGGTGTCCATGTTTGGCATAGACACAGAAGTATGGAGCTAGGTGTCCATGTTTGGCACAGACACAGAAATGTGGAGCTAGATGTCCATTTTTGGCATAGACACAGAAGTATGGAGCTAGGTGTCCATGTTTGGCATAGACACAGAAATGTGGAGCTAGATGTCCATGTTTGGCATAGACACAGAAGTATGGAGCTAGGTGTCCATGTTTGGCATAGACACAGAAATGTGGAGCTAGATGTCCATGTTTGGCATAGACACAGAAGTATGGAGCTAGGTGTCCATGTTTGGCATAGACACAGAAATGTGGAGCTAGGTGTCCATGTTTGGCATAGACACAGAAGTATGGGGCTAGGTGTCCATGTTTGGCATAGACACAGAAATGTGGAGCTAGATGTCCATGTTTGGCATAGACACAGAAGTATGGAGCTAGGTGTCCATGTTTGGCATAGACACAGAAATGTGGAGCGTTGTCCATGTCTCTGCTGTTGCGTTCATCTTGTTATTGTTGATCTGCTGACTATCCTAAATGTGCATGCAGTTATTTTTATTTGCATTAATTCTTTAATCAGTTTACAATTGTTATTTGTTGCTGAAACCTTCTGGTTTCTCACAGTGCATTTATTTCTTGGCTTTCACAGTTTACATGTAGTGTTATGTTAATTGGCTTTTGCAATATTTGACAAGTTGACATATTAGCATTGTGTCAGGTTTTTAGCATTTATCAATAGTGCCAGATTTTAGAAGATTGTTGTGTTCACAAACATTTTATTAGCCTGTGTATGCAGTCAATGTGTTTTGTTTTGTGTGTCCCAAAATGTGAACTAGTTCGTCACATTCATTTTTACAGGTGCTGGGTCGGTGCTCACAAAGATATTTTTACGGGTGCTCGGTCGGTGCTCACAAAGATATTTTTACGGGTGCTCGGTCGGTGCTCACAAAGATATTTTTACGGGTGCTCGGTCGGTGCTCACAAAGATATTTTTACGGGTGCTGGGTCGGTGCTCACAAAGATATTTTTACCGGTGCTGGGTTGGTGCTCACAAAGATATTTTTACCGGTGCTGGGTCGGTGCTCACAAAGATATTTTTACGGGTGCTGGGTCGGTGCTCACAAAGATATTTTTACGGGTGCTCGGTCGGTGCTCACAAAGATATTTTTACGGGTGCTGGGTCGGTGCTCACAAAGATATTTTTACCGGTGCTGGGTCGGTGCTCACAAAGATATTTTTACGGGTGCTGGGTTGGTGCTCACAAAGATATTTTTACGGGTGCTCGGTCGGTGCTCACAAAGATATTTTTACGGGTGCTGGGTCGGTGCTCACAAAGATATTTTTACTTTTGTTGGTTTAGCCATCACAACCATTGGTGTGGTCTCCTAATGACTCCAGGGCCATC